ACACGCAAAATATGGGATACAGCTGGAAGCAATAATTGGAAAGCAAAGCACGGGACTGTAATAAGTGGGAAATTATTGTGGTCGGCCTATGCCCCAGACAGCGTCAAAAGGCATCAGTAAGTAAAGTCTTCTAGTAATAAACTTACTTGCAACAAACAACAAAAGTTCCTACTATCCTAGTAATAAACCTACTTGAAACAAACAAAAGTCCCAGCTATTCCAATAATGAACTTACTTGCAACAAACAACACACGTCCCAAATATCCTAGTAATAAACTTACTTGCAACAAACAACACACGTCCCAAATATCCTAGTAATAAACTTACTTGCAACAAACAACAAAAGTCCCACAGCCAAAACGACTTGATTCATCTTAATGTGTTCTTTGTAAGTCTGGCCAGTGGCAGCAGCGACGACCGTGCCCTAGTTGTGATGATCTTGCAAGTCACTTTGTCAAGTGAAATTATTCCGTTTAGTGTCTCTCTCGTTGTATTCCCTTGATCTGGTCACCCTTTGACAGCCATGCTAGCCTCTATTTGACAACTGCTCACTGTATTACAAAACAATGGACACTGCTTGACCGGGGTGTGGGGGGGTGTGGGGGGTGAGGGGGTGGGGGCTGTTCTTAGTGAGTTTGATTGAGAACTGCGTGGCTACCCAATTTTCAAACTAACACTTAAGTGACAGTGGCGGATCAAGAGATTATTGACAAAAGGGGGGAAACTAAATTATAGGTGGGCTCCAGAATTCTAAGACTATATTAAAACAAGCTAGCGATGTGTTCCTAGCGATGGGCTCCTAGCGATGGGCTCCTAGCGATGGGCTCCTAGCGATGGGCTCCTAGCGATGGGCTCCTAGCGATGGGCTCCTAGCGATGTGTTCCTAGCGATGTGTTCCTAGCGATGTGTTCCTACTGGATAGTTGAAATATGTTTGGAAAATGATCCGGGGGATTGTGAGGAAGGGTTAGGGTGGGGAGGGGAGGGGGTGCATGAAGGGGGGCATGAGGGGAGCGTGAGGGGGGCATGAGGGGGGGCATGAGGGGGGGCATGAGGGGGGGCATGAGGGCAGACACTTCCTCTCATAAATTAATGATAATAGGTGTGTGGTGAGGGAGGGGGAAGGGAGAGTGCTTGCAATCAGGTTAGGTAGAAGGTAATAAGTGACGCAAAGTAGGCTATAGGAAAACGTGAAAAAAGACGCAACAAAACAACGAAGGTGTCGGCATGAAGCCTTCTTCAGCGAACAAACAACAGTAAAAACAATATAAAAATAAAGGCTTAACTGTAATATAGTATCCAAGGACCCCCCTCCCCTCTCCCCCAAGAACAGCATGTCTAAAAATTAAATTGCCAAAGAGTATTTCTCCCTCTATCTGTGTCGTATAAGGTAGACCCTTCCGGAAACGTAAACAAACTTTCCCAATCAAGGGCGGCTTGGGAAGGAGTGGTATGGGGTGACGTCAAATACAAAAAGGGGAGGTAAAGTTCATAATTATTAAGGTCAAACAAAAACTCGCATGGACACAATTTCAAATTTAAACTCAGCTTACCTAGCTAACCAAAAAAATAAGACTCTGTCGCCAACTAGTCGTACGACGATGCAGATCCAACCTGTGAGCCATGCGCCACTTTTGGAGGCAGGGGGCCTCGGATATTGAAGGTGCGACGTTTGAAAATTGTAATTATCAACTTTGAATGCAGGGGAGCCAAACTGAAATGGTAACTATCAACTTTGAATGTAGGGGAACCAAACTGAAATGGTAACTATCAACTTTGAATGCAGGGGAGCCAAACTGAAATGGTAACTATCCACTTTGAATGCAGGCGAGCCAAACTGAAATGGTAACTATCAAGTTTGAATGCAGGGGAGCCTAACTGAAATGGTAACTATCCACTTTGAATGCAGGCGAGCCAAAATGAAATGGTAACTATCAACTTTGAATGCAGGTGAGCCAAACTGAAATGGTAACTATCAACTTTGAATGCAGGCGAGCCAAACTGAAATGGTAACTATCAACTTTGAATGCAGGGGAGCCAAACTGAAATGGTAACTATCAACTTTGAATGCAGGGGAGCCAAACTGAAATGGTAATTATCAACTTTGAATGCAGGGGAGCCAAACTGAAATGGTAACTATCAACTTTGAATGCAGGGGAGCAAAACTGAAATGGTAACTATCAACTTTGAATGCAGGGGAGCCAAACTGAAATGTAACTATCAACTTTGAATGCAGGGGAGCCTAACTGAAATGGTAACTATCAACTTTGAATGCAGGGGAGCCAAACTGAAATGGTAACTATCAACTTTGAATGCAGGCGAGCCAAACTGAAATGGTAACTATCAACTTTGAATGCAGGGGAGCCTAACTGAAATGGTAACTATCAACTTTGAATGCAGGGGAGCCAAACTGAAATGGTAACTATCAACTTTGAATGCAGGGGAGCCAAACTGAAATGGTAACTATCAACTTTGAATGCAGGGGAGCCAAACTGAAATGGTAACTATCAACTTTGAATGCAGGCGAGCCAAACTGAAATGGTAACTATACTATCAACTTTGAATGCAGGGGAGCCAAACTGAAATGGTAACTATCAACTTTGAATGCAGGGGAGCCAAACTGAAATGGTAACTATCAACTTTGAATGCAGGCGAGCCAAACTGAAATGGTAACTATGAACTTTGAATGCAGGGGAGCCAAACTGAAATGGTAACTATCCACTTTGAATGCAGGCGAGCCAAACTGAAATGGTAACTATCAACTTTGAATGCAGGGGAGCCAAACTGAAATGGTAATTATCAACTTTGAATGCATGGGAGCCTAACTGAAATGGTAACTATCAACTTTGAATGCAGGGGAGCCAAACTGAAATGGTAACTATCAACTTTGAATGCAGGGGAGCCAAACTGAAATGGTAACTATCAACTTTGAATGCAGGCGAGCCAAACTGAAATGGTAACTATCAACTTTGAATGCAGGGGAGCCAAACTGAAATGGTAACTATCAACTTTGAATGCAGGGGAGCCAAACTGAAATGGTAACTATCAACTTTGAATGCAGGGGAGCCAAACTGAAATGGTAACTATCAACTTTGAATGCAGGGGAACCAAAATGAAATGGTAACTATCAACTTTGAATGTAGGGGAACCAAACTGAAATGGTAACTATCAACTTTGAATGGAGGAGAACCAAACTGAAATGGTAACTATCAATTTTGAATGTAGGGGAACCAAACTGAACTGGTAACTATCAACTTTGATTGGAGGGGAACCAAACTGAAAAGTGGCAGGGAGCCTCGAGAAGTCACGTGACGGCTCTGCGACTATGACCATGAGGCTTGAGAGACTTTTATTAAGTTATTTTATAACACCGCATGCCCTGTTAGTATTGAGTGTTTAAAGATTATTATCTTATTAGCTTAAAGCTGACCAGAAATCACAACCCATAAGATTTCCCGGGTTTTTTTCTCTTCATCATATTTTTTTTGGTCTCATATTTTTAAATACATTCCAAAGCTCTTAAGGACATTTAATGGCAAGTCATTTTTGGCGAATTTTTAACGACTGTCGATTATGGGAGTTCAATGACAATTGTTGCGACCTAACGTTATATTTTTATTATGTTTCATTACGCGCGGTGTATGTTTGAGAGTTCTATTAGTTAGTGAACGCTCTCTCCGCGCTTGCTTGCCTCTGTGACGTATTTTTATGCTGGTTGTGACGTATTGTCTAGACTGTATTGTGACGAAAGTTTCAGTCGTGCGGCAGTCGTGAATGGAACTTTGTGGAAGTAGGATGTGTTTCATTTATGTCTGATAGCGAGCTGTGGTATATGCATGTGTTTATGTCTATAGTCGATACTTAGATATTAAAGTTATAATTATTATGAAAAGGACTTTTCGGGGACTTTCATTAAGAAATAGCACTGAGTCAAAATGGTCCCAGACACGCAGCGCCGCCATTCGCACCCGGGCCCAATGCTATTCGGATGTCATTTGTGGTAGTTTATTTTAGTTAAACTGAAGAATTAAGTTTACAAACATATAGTCCATTCAATTAACTTTCATTTGATTCCTCATTTTGTCTTACAAACCCAACAATAATGTTTTAAATAGTTTTGTAACCCCAACCTCTCACTTCTGGTACCCGGGTGCGAAATGGTCGCAGCCTTTCAATTCAAACATTTTTTGTAAGTTAAGTTTTGCTTCCGAGTCGTGTGTGTGAAATTAATTCATAGTTAACGTAAGCCCTAAGTATGTTAAGGTTAAACAAAAATATAATTCAATAGTGTTTGCATTTTAACTATTAACATGAGATTCAAATTTACCCAATTACGTAAACCAATTTCAAACATCACTTGACTGCAATAGATTAGAAACGATCACAAAGGCCTTACGGCTTTGGCCATTATGTTTATTGTTTCTGCTACCTACACGCCAGCTAGGATGAGTTAGGCGGGATACACCACTTGATATGGATGTCATGTTTTCTTTCACCTGCTCACTCTTTCTTTAATCTCCACTATTCTCCACCACTTAATTATTTACAACCAGTCACCGTGAACTTGGTATGTGGGGAAGACTGCATTTAGATTGAAGTTATAAGAAAACCCGAAAGATTTAAAAAACAAAACAAAAGCAAAGGTTCGCCTTAAAGTCTATAACAGCAGACAAAGAGGGACTTAAATTAAATATAAACTTAGCTAACAGACGTCCACAGAATTATGTGTTGGAAGTCAACGTAAACAGAATCAGATATTGCCTTACCTACAGAGAGCTCATTATCATTTTGCAGCTCTCTATGGCATAACTTAAAATAAGATTTGATTATTCTTGCATACTTAACAAATAAAAAAATAGATTTCTCAATTTGTATTGCCCTGTTCACTGACGAAGGCTTTTTATCGACACTCTGTTTTTGTCATCAGTCTTTTGTTCAGATCGTCCTCTATCCATTCGGTATTTAGCCGTAATAACCTTTAACCTTTCTAGCAGACATGAAGTAGAAATAAAAGCTAGCGGCTAAGCGTAGTCTATTTATCTAAACAAATCATAATACTGTATATTTATGCATAGATTAAGAATACTGTCATTTAGTTTTAAAATATTATAATGTTTCGATTGCAATCTTTATATTTGTGTAAAAGCCTTAAGTTTGGAAATGAAGTGAGTAATTTTCTTTAACTTAAACTCAGTTATAATGTGGTTTTAATACAATTTACAATTATAATTACAATTACAAAGTTATAATTAGTATACTATAGTTAGTATAGTATAGTTTAAGTTTAAGCATAGTATAGTTATCGTATGCCGTATAACCGTATAGTTTATTTTAAGTTTATTATATTTAATTTAATAATTTACAATTTAGCTTTATTTGGCTTTAAATAAATACTTTATTTTTTTAATAATAGTAAGACTAGTTGTAATAAGTAGTAGTCGTAGTATTACTAATTAAGTATTAAGTATGCTGTGCACTGACTATATACTATATTTACTTAGTATACTATATATACTTAGTATACTATATATACTTAGTATACTAATATAATAATACCAAGTCACTGGACTCACTGGTTAAAATGTATACTTATTACTTATTAATTAGTAACATTAATATTACAATTACTGAATAAATGAATTACTCACAATCACAAGTTAGTTTACATTAGCCTTGTTTACATTATTCCTTACGATTTGTGAGCCTACACCTTAACAAATTCAAATACTTAAATGCTGCTTAGGCCTCCTCCTTTTTGTCTATTTATTATATATTATAATATATTATAATGTATTATTTATTTAGACTCAACTTTTCTTCTCATGACCTGACAGTGACTGACAGACACAATTTTAATGACAGCTGTGGCTGTAGTGACCAATTAGTCAATTATTAGGCATCTCTTTTTGTAATAGTAAATAGGCTTACTTGAGGAATAGTTATTAAAAACTAAACATTAAGTTGTGAGTCAGAGGCATTGTGATTTAGTTTGAATGAGCCATGTTATTGTGTGCAATTTGTGGCTAACCAGGAGTCTAACTAATTACATTTGAAGGTCTTATGATGTGATGTAAACTTAATAACAGCCTTAACAAATATTTTTTATCTATAAGTTACAAAAGTTCATAAGTAAATAGATTACAGTAACTTGAACCCAGTAAAGTGGAATTAACTAAAGACAGCTCATTCTATTCCCTAAAGGCCTATATATCTTGATATCTATAATGAATTAATGAATGGTGGGGATAAATTTAAAAGATAGTTCATTCATTTACACCAGCCTGCAAACTTAATGTCAAGTAATTTCATGGATCCCATCTCACCCCTACTGGATTGGACAGAGGGCTTTCAAACTTACAATAACTTAATAAAAAAAAGATGGATAATAATATTGTTATAAATTATAAGTATAAAGAGCTTAAATTATGTTAATAAAAAAATTTTTTTAATCCTTTTAACGCTCTGCTGTTCTCCTTCCTTTAGTTATTGCGATGTGCCATATCAGTTAAAGAAATTCCTGTGAGGCATTTTAGCAGCACTAAGTGCCAAGGTATCCTCAGCCTCAGACAGACTAAGCTTTTCCAACCTCGCAATGAAAAAGATAAAGTGCCACAAGACTTCGTTCTTATTTACGAGAACAGTTTGAAAAATGTTATTGATCCATGCAGAGCAGTATCGACTTCAATGTGCTTTGTGACATTTGGTGTAGCCTCCATTTATATGTTGACAAACCAAGAAAACCTACAGCCGTGGGAGATCTATACCATCTCAGGCATGTGCTTGTTTCCTTTGATTATACTATTTTTTGTAAATATAATTTCTCGTTACTACCTGCTAAGGATTTATTCAAATAAGGACATGACCAAATTTATCGGCATCTATCGCAGCCTTATGGGATTGATTAGACAAATCCAGTATTCACCTTCTGATTTGAAACCGATTCAGTCAACTAATAAAAACATTTCTACATATATTAAAAGTAATGTTCTGATAAAAGGAAGGCGTCTTCACTTGCGAGCTACTGATTTTGTGATGCCAAAGTATTATAATTTACACACTGGCTTTGATCAAGTTTTAAAAAAAAAAAAAAACAATGATTGACCAATGAACACTTTTCTGAACACAAAAGAGTTTTTAAAGAATGTTTTTAATACCGGTATTCTTTAATTACTATTTTAACCCTAGAATGAAAGATTAAATTAACTTGCATGATTGATCACATACATTTTGATAAGCCTATATAAAAAATGTGACTATATGAACAATTATTTTGTTTAGTTAGTATAATAAGATTTGATGCCTTTTGTTCTTCCATAAGACTGTTTAACTATGAAATTTTTATATGAATAATACTGATTACAGATGTAACCATTTTGTCATATCTTTTGATTGTTTATTTTATCAATTTTTAAACAATTAACTACCAAATAATAAAAACATAATAAAAAACATTAATTTCTTTTGGTATTGTCTTAAAATGAATGTTTATATACAAGTATTTTTGTTTTAAATATCAAATTGACATGGTTTACTGAATATTGTATAAAAATCATTTGAATTGCAAAGGTGCTGCAGCAAAAAAAATAACACCTACCTGTATTTCTCAGGTAGTCGATTAAAAAAAATCTCAATTGTTAATGTTATGCCTCAAAATACTTTCTTTTAGACAGCAAATTTTTCTGAATGCAAATAACAATTGTTTAGATTGAACTGGGTTAAGTATTTTTAAACTATATTTTAGCAATGGGGCTGTGAGTACTACTGTGCAAAATGAATCAAGTTTAGAGCAACTGTCTGTTGATAGTTTTATCAGTACTTAGTGGGTTAAAAGATTTTAAAATTATTTGTGATTATGCTCTCCACTCCATACAAAATTCTGAGAAAGGAGACAAATGGGTTTTGAAAACATACATAAGTTAGCAAATAAATACAAAACATTTTGAGGAAGACAATTTTATGTCTTATTTTAATTTCTTGACTTTAATAATTAATCCTTAGTGGTAGCTCCCCATTTATCAATTCAAATTGCTGAACCGATTTAACAAGCAGCCAAAATCAAATCTTTCATCACTTATATTTATAAACACTCACCACAGACAGGAGACTTGTATTTACAAACGTTGGTTTTTTAAACAAGTCCACTAGTAATTACAGTTACAGGTGTTCAAAGTCACAACTAAGTTGTTTTTCAATGTAGGTGTAAATGTTAATAAATTAGCTCGATATTTTTGTCCCATCAGTTGTTACTGGTGTCAGATGAACTAAAAGCTACACAGAATCTTGTTTATATGTTAAAAGAATTTAGAAAAATAGTAAACAGCTCTTGGTAATATAAAAATAATAATTTTACAAATGACAAATTTGTCCTGATTAGAAATAAGCATACAATGGTAAAGATAAAGATGACAGGACATTATCAAAGTCAGAAGACTTGCTCTTTTGGGGAAAATATACAGTGAAAAGTCTTAACAACGGAGCAGGAAATATTTGTTAAACAAGCCTGCTGCCATCAGATTCTACATGCAAAGGAAGACTTCAGAAACATGTGATAACTAAATTTTAATAGAATAAAAAAAGAGAGAAATATTCAAACGCAACAATGTTTTGTTTGTCCTGCCCAAATGATCCAGCAATTTCAAGAAACTCTGAAAAAGATCTATAAAAGCAACAAATTTGGAAATGTATTGATCCTAATACATGATCCACATGATCTTTCAAAAATCATCTCACAGAACATTTTGACTCGCCAGTTACCATCTCAATTTATTTTTGTAGAGCAATTTCTCATTTATCCAACATTTGTAATGCAATTTCTCATTTATCTAACATTTGTAATGCAATTTCTCATTTATCTAACATTTGTAATGCAATTTCTCACTCACTCAACTGTTACTGTTTATTATCTGCTACGTTTTTAACCCCAAAAAATTAAAATGAATGACTAAACTATATAAAATTTAGTTTAAATCCTGTAAACTATTCTTTGGTTTTTGGAGTTATCCAGTGCAGAGGTTCTCAAACTTTTTAAAATGTTATATCAATTGCTAAATAGTATGTGTTCATGCTATGTAAGTCAGGCTACTTTGTGATGCATTGTATATTTGTATTCTTTGTTACATATTTTATATCGCTAGTACTGGTAACCAAAGTTTGTAAACTCTGATCATAGCAAATTTGGTGTCCAGGTTGATTTACAGTAATTTAGCATGTGAATCTTACACTATTACACACATACTAATTCAATAAGGGTTATGCTCAAAAAGTGGTTTGATAAAATGCAACAAATGGACATGTGTACTTATCACTTGCAGTGTCTTAGGCAGTGTTATGTAAAAATCATTGTTATTCTTTATATTAGGAGAGCAAAAAAAAATTCTATTGAATGGACTTTACAGTGATTTCTTTTATTTTTTATTTACAAGCTACAGTCCTCCACGATAAATTGTAGAAATGTAATGACGACAACTAATAAAGCTGGCTATACCTACTTTCAATAATATATTTCGGATATTAGCATATACATTTATCATTGATTACTTTAGCAGATCTCTACATACAATTACTAATTACTCCATAATGTTGACCAAGTTCATTTGTTGAGCCTGCAAATTAAATGCAAGATCTTTAATAGTAAATTTAAACTATTTCATTTAATAAATTACTGAAGTACAAAAATATATATATATATATATATAAATATACATATATTAAAAGTAAGAAACATTGGAAATATGAGGGGCGTGTGATTCCTACTCCTCCAAAGTCTTGTACTTGCATAGATCTAACTACATTACTGGAGAAACCAATAAAATATAATAACGTTAAATAAGTTAGCAGCATGGTGATATTTAATTATCAGAAAAAAATTCATTAGGCAAAAGTTTGAGAGGATGAGAATGTCATCTTTTCAAAGGATAAGAATGTCATCCTTGTCATTTGTCTTGCTGCCCTTGCCAGGACTGGAGTAGTTGTTGTTGCCGTAGTCAATCCTGGGACTGGACTGATTCAAGGAAGACTGGCTGAGGGTTGTCTTCAGCTGGTTGTAGCTCCACGCCATCTGCTCCACCTCCCTCTGGTGTTTGTGCTTGTTGTCTTCCAGCTCATGTAAGAGATGACCGTTGGTCTCAATCAGAGATCTGGTGGCCAGGGACAACATGGGTTGGATGAATTGGGTTGGATGAATGATTTAAAGAACAGAGAGAGTGTGGTTGATTTAACAGCTGATGTGAATATTGATATAGAAAGCCTGGTTGATTTAACAGCTGATGTGAATATTGATATAGAAAGCCTGGTTGATTTAACAGCTGATATGAATATAATATTGATATAGAAAGCCTGGTTGATTTAACAGCTGATGTGAATATTGATATAGAAAGTCTGGTTGATTTAACAGATGCTGTTAACATAATATAACATAATATAGATGGTTTCATCTTCAAACCGATTTTTATGAAAGATCTCCTCAAAATTTTAACATTAAAGATAAATTTGAAATAGAAAAATCCTTGATATAAAAAGATGAAATATGCACAACAAATGAAAGATCTAGAACATTCATACACAAAGTTATTAGCAATAAATAATTCTGTGACACACCATCAAGTCCTTTATAAAAGTAAAAATAAATAATTCCTTTTGGTGAGATAAATATTGTTTTGCTAGATCAGGGATGCTATAACAGTAGCATCAGGAGGGAGTAACTCACTCATAATCAGCTAATTGACCAGACAGACTTACTTGTGACTTTCTTGCAACATACTGGCGAGCTCATGCAGTTGGTTGTACTGCTTTAACCTGGACTTCATAGAATCTACCTCACTTGCCAGCAAACTGTTTTGACGCTGCAGGTTTTCTGATAAAATATAGTTTAAATCAAAAATAATAATTTTTAAAAAAATCAATCAATTGGAACAAAATAATTATTTTAAAAAATTTTTATAGTAAAATACTTAAGATGACCAATAGTGATTTATCGGTGTGATTGATTCTGTAATACTTTTGCAGAGGGTTAATTTGCTCAATGAGCTTAAAAGGTTGAGACGATATAGAAGTATTGAGAATCCCTGATTTGTGTTGTGATACCGGCACACACAAACTGTTGTCTTTCACATTTTTGTGATCTAAGCACATTGATCTTATTGTGTGATCTATTTGACCCACATACCCAACAAAGTTTGGTTGACTAGGCTGTTGTCAGATGCTGCTGCTGCACTGTTGAGCTGGGCTGCACTTACAGCCGACTCGTAACCATCCAATCGTCTCTGGAGTTCTCTGTTCTCTGTGATGTAGTGTCGGATCTCTTCGTGCATTCTTTCCTGCAACAAAATAGGAAAAAGTTGAAATTTTTACCCATTTCTGGCTTATGCACTGGGAAAACTGAATGACACATAATGTGTGTCAAAGCTCCTAGCAACTAGCCTGCCATACAGTGTATGATACACACAATGCTGTATAATAAAGAGAAAACAATGTTTTTATCTTATTTCTTAACTAAGTTAAGAGTATTAGAATTAGAAGTTAACTATAGATTTACAAACGATTTAGAATTGTGTTATTGAGCTTTATGAAGAATTTTTTTATATTTTGTAGACCCTTGAAAATGATGCTGAATCTGGTATTAATAATCCTGAATTTGATATGATGATCCTTAATTTGATATTGATAATCCTCTGAAACTGAATGAAACTCAAATTTTTACAATGGAGGTTGATTAAAATGTTGACCACTGTGATGACAAGGAACTTGTCCAATGGTAATGATGTTCAACTTTGTATATTATAATGTTTAATGAAAATATATATTAAATTTGAATGCTTTATATTGAATACATTTTTCCAATACAGATTTCTATCTCTTTTCTTAGGCACATTACAGCAACGGTGAGCAGCACACCAGTGGGTCAGTCCCTAAGCTAATCAATGTCTATTAAAAGTAGCAATCAAAGCTCAGTCTTAAATCTGTACTGAAATATTTCACTCCAACACACAAGAGATTTTATAATGTTTCTTTTATCTACTATGCCTTGCTGTTTCTGACCCCAGCCATGTCTTCCTGTTTCTGTCCCCTACCATGTCTTCCTTGGCTCTCTTCAAAGATAAGTT